TAGTATTTAGTCAACTTTTGGTTCCACTTAATATTGTTCTATTGAATCATGTGAAATTGGCTTCGCTTAGTGTTTGATTGTTAAAAATTATTTTTGCTGAATAGACATTTATAATACAGATTATAAATTGTATTATCACAAATATCTCCACTGAATCAGTAGGAAAATAGTACTTCTACAATCAAAGTACATCTTATAGGTACGAAGCAAGTGGCATGGTGGGTTACACATTGAGCCACTAACTTCAGGGTCAGTAGTTGGAAACCACTCCTCAACAAAATGATGAGGCTTTCTATTCCCATAGAGTTACAGTCTCGTAAACCCACAGGGGCTTCTACCCTATTTCTTCTACCATGTATAGGGTCACTATGAGGCAGAATCAACTCAAAGGCAATGAGTTGACTGAGAAAGAAGCTCACACAGAGCAAAATGAATTTTCATTCTGTTTATTCATAGCATTGATATTTTATAAATAAAATTAAAGCACCAGGAACTTTGTGGGAATTTGACAATAATAGCATTGAATCAAAACGTCTACATGTCCAAAAATGAACTACAGTAATATTAATTGTGTTCAATCATTTTATTCAACAAGATAAACACAGCCCATACCTGCTACTTTCTCTACCAGGTAGCCTTCTGAGAAATTCAGTTTAGTTGTTCTTAGCATGGGAGAGAAGCGATCATGAAAACACCAATAACAAGACTTGCAAACAAGGTCTCCGGGTGGCACGAAGGGCTTGCGTTGGATTAGAAGCCCACACATTGGCAGATTGCACCACCGAGAGGCACCATGGGAGAAAGGCAGAGTGAGGTGCTCAGTGTAAAACTGACCACCAAGAAAGATCCAAGGCGCAGTTCTGCTCTGGAATGCAGTCGCCTGGTGTTGGAACCACCTCAAAAGCAATGGGTTTATTTACTTATTTTTTGTTTTAAATTCCTCAGAACTTGTTCGTTATATAGGGGTAAGCTTATTAGTAAAAAGCATCAGTAGATTTAGAATCTTGAGACACAACATAGGATTACATATAACCAGTTTAGCCTTTGTAGCTTTGACTTGTGTCAACAAAAATGTCTAAATTTGAATTTTTATTCTCTTACATAGGATACGCAATGTAGCATATAAAGAAATAATTCAAACAGTATTAGCTGAAACAAAGCTTATACCAGAGCTGTGAGACTTTCCCCAATAGGTGTTACTTTGCGTCTGTCCGCCCTTCCTTCCCTCCCTTTGCCTCGCCTCTCTTTCTTTCTTTCCACTTTGACATTGCACATTGGTGTCCTCATTATCTGAGTGTAGACAAGGAGCTATTGAATCTTGCCACTTTACTTATTTTTAACTTGATTCATCCTTTAGTCCACCAACTGTTTTAAAAAAATAAAAATTCACTCTGGTTTAAAGCAGTTGTAATCAAGACAGTGAAAGCTTGTTGAGTCCTGAATGCTTTATGAGCTATAACACATGTATTAAAGGTTACAAGGGAAAGGAGGTGAGGTAATATAGATGTGCACAGGAAAACTAATATAAAACTAATATTAGCTTGCTGTTTAATCTTCAAATGAAAGGACAAAATTTTCATAGAAGGGTGGTTGCTGTTAGTTACTGTAGAGTTAATTCCACATAGAAGGGTAGAGTATAGAATGAAAGTTTAATCTAATCCAAAGTATCTTAAAATAGACGATCCTTACTTAGATGATTAAGATTAATGCCTTAAATTCAATATATATTTGCTGACTATAGTGATATTTGTTTTAGAAAGTTTTTCCTCTAAGAAACATCCTGCTATTGAAGAAAAAGAAGAAAAAAAACCCTAGAAACACATGTCGAGAGTTTCTGTATCTCCACTTTCTTAGCCATACATATATATAATTCTTCCCCTAGAGCAGGGGTTCTCAATCTGTGGGTCACAACCCCTTTGGAGGGGTCGATCAACCCTTTCATGGGGGTCGCCGGATTCATAACAGTAGCAAAACTACAGTTATGAAGTAGCAGTGAAAATAATTTTATGGTTGGGGGGGTCACCACAACATGAACTGTATTAAAGGGTTGCGGCATTATGAAGGTTGAGAACCACCGCCCTAGAGGTTAACAGATGATTTATTCAAATGTATAACTCATTATCAAAGAAAACATCTATATAATCAATAGCAATAATTTTCTTGGCTTATAAACCTAAAAAGAGAAAAAATTATCTTTTTAATCCACTATTTTAAATAACACATACATACTTCATGACAATTCTGAGCTGATTAACCTGATTTTTTAAGGGGAATAGTCACAGAACTATAAATTCTCTTCTTATCACTGCTCAATCTAAATTCCAAACAAAAAAAGTTGTATACAAATCAAATTAATTACACATTGAATTTTTTTCAGGCTCAAATCCCAAGTCTACATTCTGTACTCTTTGTCCTCCCAACTAGTATTTAATATTTTCAGAACTACAACACTAACTGCTGAAGATTGATTGCATCAGAGCTTAGGAGGAAACGCAGTTATGTGTTTGCATGTTTTAATAACTGGTCTGCCTCACTTTTATAACTAGGGGGTTACTGAAAACTGTGAACAAATTACTGTTATTTAAAGATATCTTTAAAAAGAATTCTAAGCAAAGATGCACTTTTATAATGCATAGAAATATAAAATTGTTTACTCAGAGCTCCCAGATCACTTCTAAGAATGAGTTTATAGAAGGGTGCTTCAAAAAGTTTGTGAAAAAGTGCAATAAAATAATAGGATTCTTCCATGAATTTTTGAAGTCCCCCTTCTACTAGTAACATGACATATCTTTCCAAATTCCACTCCAAAAGTTAGTTTTAAATGAAAGATCATTTATGTTTCTATTAAATGAATAAAAAATGTTAAAAGAAATATTCCTAACCAATATGCCTCAATGTTTGGTATTTCACTGATATTTCAGAATTTCAAACTCTAATGCATATCAGACATTGCAATGTGTGAGGATTGTGACATAGAAAGCCACACAAACACGAGGCTATTTGGAAAGTACACTATTCAAGCTAATGTAGTTCCTGCCCCTGACTTCCAATAGAGACTACTACTAAATAAACCACAATTGGCATTTAAATGCAGTGGTCACAAGTTATGAGCATTAATTACCCTTACAAACAATGGTTCCTTCACCTGTTAAGTGGCCATAAATTAATAATGTAAAGCCCAGTGCTTGGCATATAGTACCTGCTCAGTAAGTCTTTAGTGCTTATGATTACTCATTAATATTTTAATACCAGCTCCTATTTAAGCTGTGTTATTTTAATATGGAGTCTTATCCCTGTGTTTCATTCATATCTTTAAGAGTTACTCCCCTCACTTGCTGCAGATACTGAAAAATGTTTCAAAATTTAAAAAACATTTTCAGATCTGAAAGACTGAGGTCAATTCATATCTAGATATGTACAAATCAGTCTTTATATGAATTATGTTTAAGGAGATGTTTAAACCTGTGATTGTTTTCTGGAATATAATGATACATTGATTCCATTTAACAAACCCATAACCTATAGCCTGCTCATTACAAAAATTTGTTAGGCTTACACCTACCTTTAAGACATGAGTCATCCTTCCAGAGCTGGGGAAACTGATGGAAAGATGACTAAATGATTCAGCATGCTGCAGCAAAATGAGCTGGTCATGAATTGATAATTTCCAGTTCTGTTAGGTGTCCTGGCCCTGGTGGCTCTGGTGGCCTGCACTGCCTATATAACACTTGATACTCTAATGAACACATTTTGTGGGGGGGGGGAAAAAGGAGTAATGATTCTTTCCCCTTGGATATGTTTCGAGAAGCAAAATTATTCCACTCTATGAGACAACAGGCTCAAAAGCTGGTCAACTTTAAAGTGTCTGGTAGTAAGCTTCATCAAGCTCCAGGTAGGTCTGGGGTGACTCTTGACACTGAAGCCTTTTGTAAGGCTGACAATGGGCAAGGCTTAGCTGTAGAGCAAAAGAAAACCAGAAAGAGGGCAAAGAAAGCCAGATGGGGACATGGGTATGGTGCCCTCAGGCCAACACTGATCTTTACCAGCAAATAAGCTAACAGATCAAAAGAGCCTCACGGGTCAAAAAGGCTGACTAGCATTTGCAGAATATATTCTGATGGAGCCTTATATATAGAAAGTCTTGCTATCCAGAACAAGCCAAAGTCTTTTTCTAAGTGCTCCTGTTCATCCTACAACAAAATACTTCTTATATTCACCAAATGAGGTCTTCATTTTTAAAAGAAAAATATCTCAAGCCAGAGAAAAGCCTTTTTCCCCCTTATCGGATGACAAATATGAAGAAAATATATATTAGATGTTTTCATCTAAAACTGCACTATCTGAAATGCTGGAAAAGCACATCCATTTTGTCACCACAGACCAGTCATTCCACCCAGCATTTTCGGAGAACAAGACTAAGAAGTGTGCCAGGATGTGTAAAATGAAATGGCCATTCTCTATGAAGTTCAATTTCCTCCTTCAATAGCTTGGATCTCTTTCAGTTTGGTGTAGTGACATAACTCCCACTCTCACACACAACATCTACTCAGCAGTGAGCCTGTAAAGAATTATCCAAAATGGACTTAGGAAGCAACTAGGGTGACAAAGTATGACCTTCCATGAATTCATCTTTTTCTAGGTTATGTCTGTGCAACCCCAGATTTTCCCAAACCTGGGGAAAGGGGAAGAGGATGAAGAGCCGAGCGCAACCCAGAGTGTGAATTTGGAGGTAACATTATAGTATTAACATATATTTTTATAGCCACCCAGTGCCTGGAGGTCAGTAGGGGAGAGGGAGGGGGCTTGGAAAACAACCACCACCAAGGATGTTTCAGGGCCTGGCCCAGGGGGATACCTGGGTGGTACTAGGTGGATACTAGGTGGAGAGTTCTGGCTCAGGGGCCACCCAGCTGGGCTTTTCAAAGGCTGCAGCACTGTCCTCACCCAGCCCCGGGCGCTTCGGCCACGCTCGCGTTCCGCTTATATAAAGAGATGCTTACAGTCCAGGTGCTTTTTCTTGGGGCCCATCACTTCATGAGTGGTGGCTTTGCAGACCGCTCTCGCCACAGCGGAGCCTGTCACGCTGTACTGAGCCGCAGCGATCCGATCCGTGAGCGTTTGGCCCGACATCTTCTCCGGCCAAGTCTACTGCCTCCTCTTCTGCAGAAAAGAAGGGGAGATGGTCCCTGTTTAACCCGCAGACCCTACCCTCAATGCACCTAGGCCTAGCCTCCTGCAGCTAAAGGGCGGCTCTCTCCTCATCCGTCCTCACCCGGGGACCCTCCAAGGTGCTAAACCCGCACGGACTGTGCGGTCCAGGGGGTCTTGGGGGGTGGGGGGAGGGGGCCCTCTGCGGCCCCAGCGCTGGCTCCAGTCCCAGCATCCTGACACCGTGCCCTCCATTCTCCGCCAGCAGCCTCAACCCTCCAGCGCCCCCCCCGGGCGTCAATCTGCACTTTTCCAGCAACCTGATTCCCGAGTGTCGGAGAATCCCACTGACCATCAGAGTTAACCCCCCGGCGCCGCGCCCACCCGGAGCTCACCTCTCACCTCCCCACCGCCGCGGCCGCCGCGTTTCCTCCCGGAAGATCTGAAAGCTTTGGAGAATGAATCGGATACCCAACCCCGGCTGCCTCCCTCCTCCTCTTTCTCCTCGCGCTACTGCAGCAATAGGTCCGTCCTCCCTCGGCCGCGGTGGAGATTATCCTAGCATCGCGCCATGTTATGCCCTCGCCTCCCCTGCCAGCCTCGCCGCCTTCTCCAAAGCCTTGCCCAGGCCCTGCGTCGCCCCCCGTCCTCCCCCTCCCCGCGCCTTCGTCCCCAAATTCCCGCCGCAGGGATTGCTCCCAGGTTCTGCGGAGGCGCTGGAGTCTCCGTGCGCCTCACCCTTCCCGGCAGCAGCCCGGGCACCGCTGACAGCCCTGCCCAGCCCCCAGCCCACCCGCCCTAAGCGCGCCGCGGGGCTGTCACCCGGTCCCTGCCCTTCTCTGCGCCCCAGGATTATCTGCTCCAGATCCCGGAGCGGCCCCGGCGCTGGGGAGGAGGCCGCGGGACTCGACCCACCCCCGGAGCGGCGCCGCCCGCTGCAAGATGAGCTGACCCTGGGCCGCCGTGGGCAGCGCACTGGGTAGGTATGCGCGGCGGCGCGCGCCCGGGGTCCCCCGGCGCC